TGAGACCCCTGATTTCCCACTTCACACCTCTATATTTCTGTGTATGTGTCTTTAATTCCTCTAGCACTGCTGGGTTGGGGTCTCCCCGACTGAGCTGGTCTCAGCAAGTGGCGCCCAATGTGGGTCTCAAATCCAGGTAGAAGGGTTGCCAGAGTGACAGTTGGAGAACTTGGAACTAAGCTGGAGGACACCCGAGTACTCTTAAAGCAATCCCTGTGTTGAGTAAGAGGGGGAGTTTGGAAGTATCAGGGTAACAATGGGACAAGTGTGGGTTCTGGTTTGTTCCACCTTGGAACTTTTTCACACTAATGATGAGGGGTAAGGAGAGTATAACAAAATAACAGAAGAGGTTACAGAGCAGGTTTATTTGCCAGCTAAAGCTAAAGCAGCAAAGGAGGGAGAGGTTCATCCCTACCCTTCTGCACCCCCTCATTATTCTTTTGAAAAAAAAAGAGTGGCCTGACCCTCCAGATCTTTCTTTTCTGGAGGACACTGGGGAAAAGTAGTGGCCCCAGTGACTGTTCAAGCAGTGCCTCAAGTGACTGCTCTCAGTTCTAGCCAGGCAGGAATTCAGCAAGCTAGACACGAGGGTGATTTAGAGGCTTGGCAGTTCACTGTTAGAATACACCCCCCAGATCAACAGGGACATGTTATAGCTACATTTGAGCCTTTTCCTTTTAAATTACTCAAAGAATTTAAACAAGCTATTAATCAGTATGGACAAGATTCTCCTTTTGTAATGGGACTGTTAAAGAATGTTGCTGTTTCCAGTTGGATGATTCCTACTGACTGGGATGCTCCTACTTGAGCTTGTCTAACTCCTGCTCGGTTTTTACAATTTAAAACTTGGTGGGCAGATGAAGCTTCCATTCAGGCTGCTTGCAATACGCAGGTCCAACCTCAAATTAATATAACTGCAAACCAACTTTTGGGGGTTGGTGGCTGGGCTGGTTTAGATGCACAAGTGGTCATGCAGGATGATGCCATAGAACAGCTTAGAGGAGTGTGCATTAGAGCTTGGGAAAAAATCACTTCATGTGGAGAACAATATCCTTCCTTTAGTGCTATAAATCAGAGACCAAAAGAACCATACATGGATTTTATAGCTCGGTTACAGGAGTCTCTTAAAAAGGTGATTGCAGATTCGGCTGCTCAGGATATAGTATTGCAGTTATTAGCTTTCAACAATGCTAATCCTGATTGCCAGGCTGCTCTGCAACCTATCAGAGGGAAAGCACATTTAGTTGATTATATCAAGGCCTGTAATGGTATTGGAGATAATCTGCATAAGGCTACTCTGCTAGCACAGGCAATGGCAGGACTGAGAGTGGATAAAGGAAATACTCCATTACCTGGAGCTTGTTTTAACTGTGGGAAGCATGGTCATACTAAAAAAGAGTGTAGAAAAAAATCAGTGAGTCATGCCGCCAGATAGGGGAGAAAAGAAAACTGCTGAGTCTGGAATATGTCCAATTTCTAAAAAAGGAAAACACTGGGCTAATCAGTGTCACTCTAAGTTTGATCAAGGTGGGGACCCAATTTCAGGAAATGCCATGAGGGATGTGTCCCAGGCCCCATTCCAAATAGGGCCATTTCCAGCTCAGACCATTCCCTCACCCCTGTACAATGTCTGTCCCCTGCCACAGTCAGTAGTGCCGCATCAGATTTATGCTGTGCAAAAACTGTGAGTCTTCTGCCTGGGGAACCTCCACGAAAGGTCCCAACAGGAGTCTGCGGACCCTTGCCAGTAGGGACGATAGGATTACTTTTAAGAAGGTCTAATTTAACTTTAAAAGAGGTACAAATACATACAGGAGTCATTGATTCAGATTATAATGGGGAAATTCGAATTGTTGTATCTACTTCTGTTCCCTGGAAGGCAGAGCCAGGAGAGCACATAGCACAGCTCTTGATTGTGCCATTATGTGGGAATGGGAAAAAGTGAAATTAAATGAACAGGAGGATTTGGAAGCACAAATAAACAAGGCAAAGCAGCTTATCGGGTAAGTCAAACTACTGATAAATGTCCTACCTGTGAAATAACTATTCAGGGAAAGAAATTTAAAGGTTTGGTAGATATAGGAGCAGACATTTAGATCATTTCTCTATAGCACTAACCTTCTGCATGGCCAATTCAACCTGCTCAATTTAACATAGCTGGAGTTGGTAAAGCCCCTGAAGTATATCAAAGTAGCTATATTTTGCATTGTGAAGGGCCTGATAGACAACCTGGGACTCTTCAACCAATTATAACTTCTGTATCTATGAATTTATGGGGGAGAGATTTATTACAACAGTGGGGAGTACAAATTCTAATTCCAGAACAATTATATAGCCCTCAAAGTCAACATATAATGCATGAAATGGGGTATGTCCCTGGTATAGGACTAGAAAAAAATTTGCAAGCTTTGAAAGAACTGCCTCAAGCAGAAAGACAAAGTTCCTGCCAAAGATTAGAATATCATTTTTGATGGTGGCCATTGTTAAGCCTCCAGAACCTATACCTTTAAAATGGTTAACAGATAAGCCAATTTGGATAGAACAATGGCCACTAAGTAAAGAGAAACTGGAGGCTTTAGAGAAATTATTTCCTGAACAATTAGAAAATGGGCACATAGCTACAACGTTTTCCCCTTGGAATTCTCCAGTTTTCGTAATTAAGAAAAAAGTCAGGTAAATGGATAATGTTAACTGACTTAAAAGCCATCAATTCAGTTATAGAACCTATGGGAGCATTACAGCCAGGATTGCCTTCTCCTGCTATAATTCCAAAAAATTGGCCTTTAATAGTCATAGATTTAAAAGATTGTTTCTTTACTATCACCTTAGTTGAGCAAGACTGTGAACGGTTTGCATTTACAATTCCTGTGGTAAACAACCTGCAGTCTGCTAAGCGTTTTCATTGTTTTACAGATGGGTCTAGTAATGGTAAAGCTTCTTATTCTGCTTTGAAAAGTAAAGTTTTCCAGATGCCCTATACTTCAGCTCAAAAAGCAGAGCTTGTAGCTGTAATTGAGGTATTGACTGCTTTTGATATGCCTTTTAATGTGATTTCTGATTCTTCATATGTGGTTCACTCCACACAGTTAATTTAAAATGCTCAGTTACTATTTCATACAGATAAATAACTAATGACAAAAACAAAAAAGAGGGAGAATAGGGATTATGGGACAGCCCATACACAACTGAATCTAGCATTATTAACTTTAAATTTTTTGAGCCTGCCCAAAGGCCAGATGTTATCAGCAGCTGAACAGCATCTACAGAAACCAGCTGCAAAGACAGAAGCAGAACAACTGGGTTGGTGGAGAGATCCGATAACAAAAAGTTGGGAAATAGGTAAAATAATAACTTGGGGTAGAGGTTATGCTTGTGTTTCTCCAGGCCAAAATCAACAACCAATTTGGATATCATCAAGACACCTGAAACCTTATTATGAGCCAGATGCTGAGGAAGAGATTCCAGGAGGATCCCAAGGACCCCCTGGTTGAAGCCATGTTGAGACTGATGCTGAGGAGGACCCCAACTGCCACAACCAACACCCATTGAACACAGCCACCCACCTGGGGTCAGATCAAGAAGCTATCACAGATGGCGGAAGAAAACCTGAGGAAAGCGGGACAACCAGTCACAATGAGTAATTGAATGGTAGCTATGATAGCGGTGATCACCACTGCCGTGAGTATTCCTTCAACAAGGGCTGGCACAGAGAGCAATGATACTCGTTGGGCATATTTATCAATCTTGACTGGTAATAATGCCTGGATGTAATCACTCTATGACACAGTTACACATGTTTTCCGATCTCGGTATGTACTATAACAAATCTGCTCCTATAATTGAGGCATACCACCCTCAAAAACCTATTTGTAAACAAAATTGAACCTGGCCAGAAAGAATGAACATATTTGTTTAGGAGGATTGCATTGCAGAACAGGCAGAGGTGCTGCACAATGATTCCTATGGAATCATTAATTGATCCCCTAAGGGGATGGTTAGCTTGAATTGCACCTCTCAGTCTGCATGCCATGGCCACACTATGTTCAGATGATCTGAACAAAACGGTCAGATGGTAGAAATGATAAGAAGTACGGCAAGAGTTCCTATTATCTGGAACTACGGAGCTATAGTGGCACCTCAACCTCAAATGATATGGCCCACTCTAGAAGCTAAACACAAGGATTTGTAGAAACTATTAATAGTTCTTAATAAGATCAAAATTCGGGAAAGAATAAAAAAGCATCTAGAAAGACACTCTACAAACTTGTTTTTGGATATTGCAAAATTAAAAGAACAAATATTTAAAGCATCCCAGGCACACCTGACTTTAATGCCAGGAACTGGAGTGCTTAAAAGAGCTGCAGACAGATTAGCAGCTAGTAACCCAGTAAAATGGATAAACACACTTGGAAGTTCTGTGATTTCAATGACGATTGTGCTTTTAATCTGTGTTGTCTTTGTATAGTCTGCAGATGCAGATCCTGACTCCTGTGAGAAGTAGCTCACCATGACAAAGCTGCCTTTGCTTTTATCACTTTGAAAATCAAAGAAGAGGGAGGAGTTCATTGGCTTTGGTCAAAGACTAGGATCACCTACAAAAGGCGGACCCCTTGCCGCTGGATTAACATGGTTCCATTGTGACATGTTTTCAGAATCCTGCACATTGCCATTATGGAGGGTTGCTGTGTCTATCACTGCGAGAATTTGGTTACCATCTTTCTCCCCAACCATACTAGAACCCTATGAGCCCCAGGGTTCAAACTCCAGGGTGGCTGAGAACCCTAGCCGTACGGGGTGGAAGCACTGACTCTTGGAGGAATCGGAATTCAGCCCAGGCCTCTGAGGGACTCTCCATCCTGCCTGTGCACCAGAAAAAAAAAAAAACCCTGATTGTTTTAAATCAGTTGCTTAGTTCCCTTTGACCCACTGACTTAGAATCTCCTGGGCCCATGGTCCTGGTGCCTGTTTTGTTATAAAGTTCCCAGCCTTATGCAGCCAGGCTAGGGGCCTGCGTGCAAAACAGTCACCCCATCCAGCCACTCACTGGGCCCTAGGAGAAAATGAGATGTCAAGCAGCTGCTAACGTTGATTTGGCAGCTAACACTGTGGCTGTGCTCTGTAAGTGTCTTAGGTTGCTTGTGCGTGATTTCAATGCCAGTCCCTTCAAGACGGAACCCCTGATCTTTCCCCATTAACCTGGTCCTTGTCTCATGGTCCTTGACTCTGCAAATGGCACCAGCCTATGCAGTGTGGAAGACAGACACCTAAGAATGCTCTGTAATGTTCTCTTCCTTTTCTCTCATATTCAACCCATCTCTAAGCTACTACCTGTCAATTTTACCTCCTAAGTGTCTCTCCAACATATCCACCTGGTGTCCATCATCACCACAGGTACTGGCCTCTTCCAGGCTACAATCTACAATCCTCTTGCTTGGACTCCTGCA